CTTGGATTTTCTTCAACAGTATCTTTTCTGATAGGAAAGTGAATTTAGTTGGTACTTTGGGGGGTCAAAAGTTAAAATTTCCCAGTAGTTTTCAAAAGTGCCGTGAAAAACAAAAGAAAAATTATGGAAAAACGGGAATTTTTACGCAAAATCGATATTGGTTTTTGGTGTAACTTTAAAACAAATGAACGTATATACATGACATTATCACTGGTTGCTTATATTTGCATTTTCTATACACGATATTACGATAACATTTTCAAAATATTTGGATTTATTTTGAACTGTTTAGGGACATTTTCAGTTTTCAATTTTATTAGTTTTTTTTTTTATGAATATCAATTAAAATGTATTTGTTGAGTAAAAATACTTGAAAATTTAATACAAGGCTCCTACTATATTGCTTCAAAGGCAGATGAAAAATATTAAAAATTCTTAGTCACAGTTTTTTTTTATAAGCATTTCAAGTTCAAAAATTGAAAAAATATGGAAAAATCACGAAAATTAGCAAATTATTTTGAGTTAAGAATTCGTAAAAATTTTTCTTTTTAAATCTAAGATTTTAAAATATAATACAAGATTCCTTATAAGGTTTTCTACATTTATCAAAAAAAAATGTCTATTAGAAAGTCAAATTACATTTTTATGAGCGTTTGAAATTCAAATTTTTAAAACATTGGATATTCACTCGATTTCTCATGCGGCGATTTCCTTATTTTGTTGTAATTCAAAAACGAATAACTGTAGATACATGAAAATTTTACTGAATGTTTATATTTTCATTTTTGGATGTAAAAAGGTAGTACGGGAGCAATCGTGTTACAGGCATTATAGTGACCTACTCTATGACCGAGGTCCACTGATATACACTATACAGCAGGTTAACTTCCCCGGTTTTTACATATTGTAAATCGTGTAGGTATACTTGAAGTTATTATTATTATATTATATTTAAGATTAGATTTACATATACTTACGTAGATATAGACAAAACATTACTTTGAATTATATTTGAAGTCACCAGATTTGATCCGTTTTCCGCGAGTTGTATACTAATAAATATCAAATATCATAATATAGGTATGTGATTGGTATTTATAGTATTATGTATGGGTAAAATATTTTCAAATTGAAAATTGAATACCATATTTGCTATACAATAGTTTACAAATGACTAATTAGTAATTTAACATATTTTTTTTTTAATCACAACAAAAAAACATATGAACACATATAAAATTAAATTTTCGAGTTTGTAAATAAATTACAACTTACTCGAAAATATCAATGTTGGGCTCTTCTAGGCTCAAATGTTGCAGTATTTCTCTTTAAAATCATAAAAAAATAATCATGATGGGTATTTAAGTTTGAAATTTTATAAACAGATGATAGTCGATAGACAACTAATTAGAAAATATATACTTACATATTATTATGCCGATTTTTTTTAGCCATACCTGCCATACTTAACCGGGTCTTCATATCTAATTTACGCTGTCTGTTTTTTTTTTAACAGTACGTGCTTTTTTGTACGGAGACATAATACAAAATCAAGTTCACAGCGCAGTAGAAAATGCCAAGTAAAAGTTAAAATAATGTAAAAATAATAAAAGCACATTGACATCGAATGTTTGACGTTAACTGTTGGATGTACAGGTCACAATGAATTAATAAATTCATATTTTATAAAATAATATAATACGGAATTATAATATTATCGGCAGTATTATTATTATTATTAATGTTTTCGTATCGACGATTTGGATATTTATAAACTATGCGGGCATGCGATAGATAGCTATTTTCGACCCTTGGTGCGGTACGGTGCGTATGCGCGCGGTGTAGGTGTATGGGTACGTTTTTAGAACGCTGCCGCTAGAGTAGCACTGGCAGCACTATACGGGACTATTACATGTTACAAATACGAAATATTTTTCAAAAACATATCTCAGGAGAATCAGTCTCATTTGGGTTACACTTATCGTACAAAATCCAACTTTCGTTAGCATAAAGGTAAGAACTAGTGCTGGACATCAAATCCGGATAAATCCGTATCCGGATTACCAATCCGGTTTGAAACAACCGTCATTAATCTGTTTATCCGGATTAAAAATTATCAATCCGGATTATGATACCAATCCGGATTTTGATATGAATCCGAATTAGATAATTCAATCCGGATTCTGGTCTAAAAATAAAAATTCGTTTTTCTTATAAAAGATAAGATAATTATTGAGTAAATTTATTATTATAACCAGATGACGGGAATTCCGTTATTTTTAAATTATTAATTCAGCTTTATAAATTAAACTCGTTACTCGGATTTCCCGATTCAATCCGTAAATCCGGAGATCGGATTGAATTCGTTAATCCGAAAAACGGATTGAATCCGCCAATCCGGATTCTGTATTTCAATCCGTGATCCGGATTAGGCAAGCCAATGTCCAGCACTAGTAAGAACATTGTCTGTGTTCCTATGTTTTATTTTTTAGATAGCATTAACATAGTAATAATTATTAAATGTTGAATATTTAGTTTTTTTATACTTTTCTACAATCCATAAAAAATTATTGAGTTAAGTTATAATCATAATAAAACATAGGAACACAGATAATATTGTTATCCTTAAGTAGTCAAAATTTGATTTTTGTGCGATACCTACAGCCCGAAGGAGAGCGATTCTCCTAAAACATGTTTTTAGGTAGCAAAAATGTGTGTGTAGCGTCCTCTTAACATTAAAATTTAATTTAATTATAAGAAATTATTTTTTTTTTAATGTCAACAATATTATTACTAGAAAACAGTCTGTTGTTCAACTCAACTGTAGTACCTATATACCTCTGTAACAAGTCACAATAGTCACATGCGAATAATGTCAGCACAGCGACGATTACGATATAATAATATAAAATTGTGATCGCCCGAACGATACAATAATAATACAATGATATTGATAAATTAACGGGCCCATACGATAACGTTTCATAACTTGAGTTTATAAATACTTATTTATACTCATGATTACGCCGCGGCTGACGAATGACGATGTAACCACTTCCCGCTATTCATACTATGACGGGGAACACCACCTTTGCCGTCAGCGACTACAGCGCTCTATTGTGGCTGAGGTCGTAAAACTGGTCGCCGTTATAATATACAGTACTGCTTATCTGTATATTCTAAAATCAATGATATTATTAATAAATACATAAGTATCATTTATATTCTACTTTTTTAAACTTTATTCTATATATATTTATTTACTATTGTGCTTAATGTTATGTATATTAAAATTTAAACTTTATTGTGTTTAAAATGTGTGTAGTAAAAAATGTAGTAATTAATAAGTGGAAAATTACATTTTTTTTTTTTTTACTTTATTACGACCATGACGAAATAACAAGGTATGATCACAACTTTGTGATACGCATTAAATCTCTATTATCAGAAATAAGAGTGGGAGTCATCCTCGGCATTTCATTGGTCCTTGATATTATGCTGTTAAATTATAAATTATAATCGATTAAAAGTTTTAAAAAATATAGGTATGCGTAAGTAATTAGTATTCAGGCCCTATTATTTGTAAAATTTCGGACTGCACATTTCATTTTATTCTCGCTACCATCTTAGAAAAAGGAATGTATTACATAATACATATTACATATATATATATATTATATACTATAGGTATGTATATAATAATTTAACAATGCAATTCAATAAAACAACAAAATACTTATCTTTTAATAAAAATCATAAAAATTAAATAGCATAATATAATAATAAAAACCTTAACTTAACTTTTTAATAATTAAAATCATAACAATGCATATTACTTTCTTGATTTTTCATCAAGTAAGTATGGTAATTGAAATGAAAAAAGTCTGAACTTTGAAAACTTCAAAAATTTGTGTTAAATAGGAAAATAATAAAAATGTAACTCAGTAATGATAAATAGGTGGGTAATTTAGCTAGCTTTAATATAAAATATTAATAAGAGAGATTTGATATCACACCCAAGCGGTATACCCAATTTGAATCCATAAAAGCATTCGCGTGAACAGTCCCAAAATTTCTATTTTTTAACTTTTCTCCTAAACTATGATACCTAGCTAGAAAGTTGTTTGATAACTCACTAAAAACGGTTTATCAGGTAGATCAGGTAGGTAGGCACTAAATGTGGAATTAAATATTTTTTTTAAATTATTTAATTTTTCTCAGGTAAAAAAGAAAAAAAAGAGTTATTTTCTCTAGATTTTCATTTAGCGAGTTAGATCTCTGAAACTGGAGAACGGATTTTGTTGTTTGGGGTCTTGTTAAATTCACATTTGATAAGAAATGCAGTGAAGATTTTCAGAACTATACCTCCAATCGTTAATTCATTACAAAGCTGTAAAGATGAAAAACATCAAAAAACACCCAATAAAATTTGTTTTATTTTTTTTTATGTTCTGTAGTGAATGAACTATTAAAGATAAAGTTCTGCAAATCTTGACTGCACTTTTCCTAACCAATTTGAATCTAACAAGACCAAAAACAACGAAATCCGCTCTCCGGTTTCGGAGATCTATGTCACTAAATTAAAATGAAAATTTTTTTTTGTGGGGCTGTTCACGCCAACATTTTTCTGGATTCATATTGTTATACCGCCTGGGTGTGATTAAATCAGTTAACAAAGTCCCTGACTTGGCAATTTTGTTTTGTAGAACGTAGTGCACACACGTTCAAATCGTAGTGCACACTTGTATATTCGTAGTGCACATAAAAATAGGGCCTGTTAGTATTATAACTTACATAATCATGATTTATTATAATAAATAATAATTATACTATTTAATGTAAATTTAAATGTTTTAATTAAAAAACTATTTATTGAAGATGTATTATACAAATACAATATAATATAATAATATAATATAAAACTAATTTCATGGCTATTTGATAAATTTTTGTTTTTTTCGTGTTTCTACTTTTTTTTTTTGATATTTATCTGAAATTAATTATTTGTTAAGATTATTCATTCTTATGAATGCCAGTGTCCTAACTAGACAGTCAATAACTTCTTGCGGGATAGACAAATATTGAATTATTGGTGTCAATCTATTAATCATATTTTTCATTATCCCTTTACTTTTTGTATTATTATCACCATTCACTAATTTAAATTCAATTTCAAGAAATTTGATTGCTGCCATCAAATTGTTTGATGGTAATTTCAAACCACCTCTTGACTTGAAATTAGTCCAACAGTCTTCTGCAACATCACCATCATCTGTTTGTTTTATCAAATCTGGATATTTGCTGGCAAACCGATTACAAATATAGCCAGCTACATATTGAGCACTATCCTCTTCAAGCTCATTAAAATGTTCATTTTTTGCCATCTAAATCACATTAATTATTAATATTTACTATAGTGTGGTTAGGTAACCGAAAAAAGTTTCACGTCTGGCAACCAATGCGCCCTTTTGGATTCAGATATTACATGGGTAAACGAGTCTAAAAAGCCCGGGACACAAATTTTTCCTCCCCCCTAACGTTGTTGATAACGTTATCAATATGGCCGCCAAATTGTTGTGATGCGGTTCTACATTTTCCTATATAACTTGGGTTTGTATTTAGATATTTACCTATATTTTTAGTGATTATTAATCAGTAGAAAATTCGCTTTTTAATGACATATTTTACATTATCATTTAAGGTCATAATTTCAGAAATTTTTGTAACTTTTTTTTAAATTTTTGAATTTTATTTTGAATTTTTTAGATAATTTGCTAAATAACACGGAATCAGTTGTATTTAGCTAAAAATATGATAGAAACTTTTTTGTTCGTAAAAAAATTACCTTTCGAACAGTATATAAAACTTTGATTTTGTTCCAAACAGTCGCTGAAAATCTTCTAAAGGTGTGATTCCTTAGAACGCGTCTAGTGACGCGCGACCGGCGCGGCTGACGCGGCGCGATTCTATTTTTGGTCGCGTCGGGACTGCTTTGCCTATTTTTAAATGTGGGCGATTCCCTACAACGCGTCTGCCGCGCGCGACTGTCATGCGCGTCTACAGCCGCGCGACTCTGACCGCTCCAGAGGCAGTCGAGACGCGGTCGCGCACGCGTTTTAATATATAATAAATTATATCTACATATTATAATATTGTATGAAAATATCTTCAAAAATTACATTTTCATCTGAAGATGATAAAACGCTTGCAGAACTTGTAGGATACCACCCTTGTCTGTATGATTTAAAACACACTTTATATAAGGACCAAACAGTAAGGGAAAATGTGTGGAAACAAATTTCAAATGAAGTGAACAAGCCAGGTATTATTATTAAATTATATTATTATATAATATTTAATACTATATTATATTTTATTATATTATTATTATTAAATAGTATATTACACTTATATTATATTATATAAAATAATATATTGTATTATATTATATTAATTTATTCTTTCTATACTATAACATTGCCAAATTGAGAACGTACATTTTTAAAACTAAATTAAAATTAATATAAACGTAATGTTATGCAAAATTAATAATCAAACTGAATTTAAAATTAAATATAGGCATTAAAGATAAAATATAATCAATAGGTACTTTGATATTAAGTTATAAAACATATTTAAAAAATAATAATAAATGCTTGAATAATTTATAAAAATATTTTTCTGTTAAACATAAGACATAACATAGTGTTATCGTTTTTATGAAGTATCTGTTCTTAAAGTTTGATAATTTTGCCACGGGACTGTACCTTGTGGGGAATTGAAAAATTGTTTGAACTCATCTCTTACTATAAAGCCTTCATAATTACCATAACCTCCCGTACGCTCAAGGTGAATCATATTGTTCGGAGGAGAATCATTTGGGTCATAATTATATGTATAGTATCGTTCTGTTGTATTTTTTATTTTATATTGGTTACGTAAAAGGTTATATAGGCAGCATGCAGATAACACAAGATGATCAACAGTTTGTGTTTTTAGTGGAATAGGGGTGTAAAAAACTCTAAACACCTGACTCAGAAGTCCAAAACTATTTTCAGTAGTTCTTCTCGCCCTTGAAAGACGATAATTAAAAATTTTTTTCTCACTATCATTTCTGGATTCAATTTTCGAGTATGGTCGCATCATATGAGGGTCTAAACGAAAAGCTTCATCGCCAATGAAAACATATGGCAATATTTTGTCTGAATTTGGTACTTTGGCATCAGGAGGAAAATAATCACCATTTTTCATTTTTTCTGAGATTTTTGATTTCGTAAATATACCGCTATCACCCTCTTTGCCATAAGATCCGATGTCTACATAAATGAACTTACAGTTAGCATCTACAATCGCTAACAAAACAATTGAAAAAAAATCTTTATAGTTAAAAAAACAATGATCCGCTATTCTTTGGTGAAAAAATACGAATATGTTTGCCATCAATGGCACCTGCACAATTCGGAAAATTCCATTTTTCCCAAAACTCTTTCGATATTTCTACCATGTCATTTTTGGTTGGTGGTGGTAATAATATGGGTGTCAATCGATTGCTCAAACTTTTCAATACTAGTCTCACAATACGTGTAATATAACTTTGGGAGATGCGAAAAGCAAAAGCTAGGGACCGAAAAGATTCTCCAGTCGCCATAAACCTGTTAAAAAAAAAATTAAATTATAAAAATACTTGAATTTGTCCACAGCAATAAATATATAATATAAAAAGTATATATAGGCTATTAGTTATTACAAATTTGGTATTATTTGTAATATGAAAAATATATAAATTATTATAAATAATTAATGTTTATTAATATTAATTATATTTATATCATTACAAGACTTCTTGAATAAAAAATATAATATGTAATGTCAATAAATAAATACAGTCAACTCGCGATATAACGAATTTCAAGGGACCGAGAAAAAAATTCGTTATATCGAAAGTTCGTTACATCGAAATTATATTATACCGCGATATTTTCAAGGGACCTGTAGTTTTATTCGTTATATCGCGAGTTGACTGTATAATATACATATAGTATGTAAATTAATTGAAAGTCAGTAGCTTTAATTCGAAATATAATGGAGATAGTAGTTAAAAAAATGTATAATGAATAGTCCAGTGGTGTGGTGAACAATTTTAATTGAAGGAGCCAAATATATTTATTCCATCCACCCACCCACCCACCTAACAAAACAGGTTGTATACCAAAATTATTATATTCGCTCCCCCATAGATTGTCCCTTTATTAATACAGCCCGGAAGATAGGGTACGAGATACTACACAATTGTTAAAGGGCAAATAACAAAAAGATGCGGGTAAACGGATGTCGCTCTGCTGTACAGTAGGTTACAAGTGGGTCACTGTAATGGATGGCGTAAACTGTTAAATTTGAATTCAAGGATATAATATCAATGTATATAAGAAAAACGATTCTGAGCGAAAACGGTCAGTCAGCCTATGATATTACCAAGTATATTTGATGATATTATTGTGAATAAAGTAATTTATATATAATCTATTTACGTGGAACCTTGTTTTACATTTTCAATCCTTAGCTATAAAAGTTGAACATTTTATAAATTTTTAACTACAAAATAATAATTACAATGTAAATTTGATAAATTTTATCAAAATTTGAACTTTAAATCCTTATAAAAAAAAATTGTGCCCATGTATTTTTAATATTTTTCAACTCCTATTGTAACAATATATCAGGAGTCTTGTATTAAATTTTCACGCATTTTTACCCAACAAATAAAATTTAATTGATATTTATAGAAAAAAAAAACTAAAAAAATTGAAAACTGGCATGTCCGTAAACAGTTCAAAAATAGTCAAATTATTTTCAAAATTTTATCGTGTATAGAAAATGCTAATATAAACATTGAGTGAAATTTTCAAGTATCTAAAGTCATTCGTATTTTAATTACAATAAAATAAGAAAACCGTTACGTAAGATATCGAGTGAATATCAAATGTTGTAAAAATATGAACTTCAAACGCTCATAAAAATTTAGTTTAACTTTCTTGTAGAAATTTTTTTTTTTAATAAAGGTAGACAAACTTATGAAGAATCTTGTATTACATTTTCTAATCTTCGATTTAAAAAGAAATTTTTTTATCAATTTTTAACTCAAAATAATTTGCAAATTTTCGTAGTTTTTACGTATTTTGTCAATATTTGAACTTAAAATACTTATAAAAATACTGGGTTTTTAATATTTCTCATGTCTTTGAAACAATATAGTAAATTTGGAGCCTTCTATTAAATTGTCAAGCTTTTGTATCCAACAAATGTAAAAATTGTATTGATATTTATAGAATAAAAAACTAAAAAAATTGGACTGAAAATGTCCCTAAACAGCTCAAAATAAGTCAAAATATTTTAACAAAAAGCATGGTATATAGAAAATGCTAATATAAATATTCAATAAAAATGTCATGTATCTGCGGTCATTTGTTTTAGAGTTACACCAAAAACCAAAATCGATTAAGCAAAAAATCAACAATACATACTTTCAATCAAAATTGTACAATATTATAGATTACTAATAATCGTAAGTTGGTAACGATCTGCTGTTCATTAGGTGTCAAGTCTTTAAATATATAATAAATAATATTAGGCAAACATATTTTAGGTCCGCACCTGGGCACCACCACCACCCCCAAAAATCAACGGAGCCGCGGCTCAAAAAAATTAGCCTCGCCACGCCACTATTGAATACTGACAAACAATTTATTAAATAATAAATGATTTTTTTTATGAATTTTAATTTTAAGCTGTAATCAAAATACAATATTTTTCAACGAGTTTAGCTACTGTATATCAAATGTTACAATTTGATTTTATTTATATCATTACATTTTAATAAGTATTACTTAATTATATTGATGCAGTTGATGATTGTAAAAAGCGCTGGAAAAAAATTAAGGACACATACAATAAAAAAAGGAGAGGTAGAAAGTTGGGTACTGGGTCTGCTACGAAAGAAAAACCATCAAAATGGATTCTTGAGGATGCTTTATCTTTTATGGATACAGCAATATATGAGAGACAGTAATAATATATGATACATTTTTATTTTTTGATGTATATAAAATGTAATATAAATACTAATAATGTTATCATTATGATACTGAATAGGAGCGTAACAAATGTATCCCACGAAGGAGATGAAATTGAGGAATATCACATAAGTTCAAATGATAATAGTGTTATCACACAAATGGAGCCTGAAATTGAAAATGTATCATCAGTTTTAACTTTTGAGCCAATAGCGGTAGCAGAGAAGTCGGAGAAAGAATCAACTAGTCAAAAACGATAAAAAAAAAACGGAACTAGTCGACATTTTAAATAAAAGAAGCGAAGAAAGAATCCGTTTAATGCAAGAGCTTACAAAAACAGAAGAAGCAGAGGACTCCATCGATGTTTTTTTCAAAAGTATGGCGCTTACAGTCAAACAGTTTTCGCCAGAACTCAAAATAAAAGCAAAAATGGATGTACTCAAAGTAATAAACGAATTGGAACTTAAGAATCTAAAATCTTTGGATCAAACTGGCAGTACTTCCAATTATGTGATTCCAGAAAATCAAACTTTTAGTCCTCAAGCATTTGTTCCAATAAATTATACATCCTATTCAACACACTCCTCTGAACTTGATGGAAGTTCTTCAGAATCTAGATGGACAGAACATTTTCATAATAATTAATCATTATAATCAATGGAGCCATATTATCATAGTTTTTATGTTTATGTTTCAACAGAAGTGTTTTTTTATTTATTTATAAATTTGTTTTGTTTATTTTAAAAATGCTATAGGTACTAGCTAAATGACAGTAATGTTATTATTTTTATTTTCATTGAGACAATGTTTTGTTATTTTTATTAGTTATTTTCCTCAACTAAGTTATTTATACCTCAACTACTTAATTTATAGTTAACCTTGGTTTAAAATTTGAAACTATTTTTAATTATGTTTCTTGTTTATTCTTGTTACAGAGTATCATTACCTAGTCATAAGTATTTAGAATCAATCGATGGTTATATTTTATAATAGTGATTAGCGAGAGTGCGAGACTGTTATTCATAAACTCTCTTTTTTTAGAACATATATTATATTTCAATACATTTAAAACTAATATTATAGCACTTGAAGTTATAGAATTTGCTGATTTCGTTATTTTATATGAATAATTAAAACATTTACGTAAAAACGTATTAAAGTTATGTGTTAATCATGCGGCTGTTTCATATTTGAACAAAAAAAGCTTACCTTAAAGTTACAGCTAATTTCTCCGCCGGTGAAATAGGCTCTCTCACTCTGTTGGTGCGATTTGATTTTATGTCGTCTTCAATTAAATTAAGAACATAGTTAAATTGTTCCCAGCTTAATCTAAAAAATTCTCTGAATTTTTTTTCATCGCTAAACAAATGTTTTTCAATTAAGATACTAAAAAATCCTTCTTTTTTTCTGGATTGAAACATATCATGAACTTCTTTCGTCATGACTTGATCAATAATAATTTCTTCGTCTTCTATTTCTTCTAATAGAAGATTAATCAAAACTTTGTTACGCAACATGGTTCACAATTAAATTATTAACAAATGATCGGAAATAATCAAGACACTAGTGATCAATGCAACGTGCAAGGTTGTAATGATCGAATTAAATATGAATATAATCTAAATTCAAAATACGTGCCGCGCGTCTGTTGCGGCGCGTTTCGCAGTTAAAGGATTCCGCAGTCAGCCGCGCGGTTAAAATTTGAGCCGCGCCGCGTCAGCCGCACCGGTCGCGCGTCACTAGACGCGTTCTAAGGAATCACACCTTAAAACAATTTTGCATAGCGAGAGACTCGTTCGGCAACAATGTAGTGTAGAGGGGTTCCGAAAAGTATTAAACCGGCTTTATAACTGTTTAAGTAATTAATGTAATTATTTTAATTTTTGGTGCAAATGTAATTATATTATAGCTTTTTTTTAGGGATAACTGAAAGATAAATTTTAAACATAAAGTACAAGAATGAGAAGCAAAATAATGTACATTATTATTCCAGTTTAATATTTAAAGTTAATAATATCCATACATTTTAAAATACACTTATTTAAGATATTTAAATAAAACAAGATCTTGCTTAATTAAAATCACCAATCACTTTCGGAGCACTGTCCTTCACATACACAAAGTTTGGTACATCGTACTCCCATTTTGACACATTTACATTTCTCACTTGTGCATCGCTTGCGGCAAGTACAAGAGGTAAGTTCTACAGAGTGTTTTGACACTTCTGGAATTGTCGTCCACACAGGTTGGTATGATCCTTCTGAAGTTTGTGACCATCCCCAGTTGGTTGGCGAAGGTACTGTGTATTGTGAATCAAGACTGTTGTTCCAAATTCTTGCTTGAAAAGCAGCTCGTTTGATATGTTGTCTCAAAGCATCTGCTGTAGGAGGAATATTTTCGATTGCTCGATTTTTTCTTGTAAACAACACTCGTCTGCACTCATTGATGTTCTGTATATCTGATGTCTTATCATAAAGTAGAACAATAAAACGCTGCAACAGATTATGACATTCATCATCAATATCAGAGGTGCCTGTACAGAGCTGATTCCATACACAATCAATTTCACGAAATGACATCCAGACCTTCCAAGATGTCTTCTTGCCAATGCCACAAAATGTGGAAACTGTATCGCAACCAGTTACAGAGTGAAAAGCTAACAAATTTCTACAAATTTCAGGTGAGAGGGTAGTACAAATCTCATGAATTGGAATGAATTTCCTATATTTCCCACAACCATACTCAATCCAAAGTTCATCAATACCTAGTATCTGTGGAAACAGTGATATTGAAATAACCACTACATCTTAATTTACAGTTCGTATTAGGATGCAAGTATGTCCACTTTCCACTGCATGCTTAACATGGAGCAAGAGGCGGCCATCTGCTTCTTCGTGTGAGGCAGGTGAAATGCTTGAAACATCCATAGTGGTTGACGTGAGAACTTGGTCATCATATGTACAGACGACTTGCTTTCCCGGGTACTGCAGGTCTTCCACCATTTTCTTGGCCAGCAACTGGAACAATTGTGTTTTATTTTCGTCGACACATAGGAATTGCTTAAATTTTTTTGGTATTGCAGTTGAGTCTGATACTTTAATACTTATGCCACTTCCTCTACTTTCTCGGGTGCCTGCCTTCAGACTGTTACTAATATATCTGTCAAAAACAATATCTATTCGTGAACTATTTTTTAGTTGATTACTGAAATATGGCTTGAAAATAAGTTCATAGTATCCGGAAAATGTTGTAGCAATACCAGGATTAAGCATGTGTATTACAGCTGCTCCATCAAACATTTTGGCTGTTACAATAGGTTGGCTGTCATAAAAGCTAATGTCACATTTTGTTTGTATGCAGTCAATAATATCAGACTTATTGGTTGGCTTTCGGAGCTTTCCATCTTCTGATATAGATGGCGGGTATATTTGGTTTTCGTGAGAAAAGAAATCATCAATATTTGCATCCCGAGCTTCAGATGCGACATACAATCTACAGAACAAATTAGAGTCTTTACGCAAGTTAGCAATCTTAGACTTTGCCTTATCCGTTTTTTTTTTTATAGTCTTGAAGATTTTGATATTGGTTCTAGGAATAATTTCATGAATTGAATTTTGTACTAGATTAAGACGAGACACGACAAATTCATTATACTGTTGTAGTCCCAAAGTAAATGCTTCTGTAACACACTTTACAGCTTCGACACTTGCAATTACTTTGGAACTTCCTATTGACACCAAATCGGTTTCTTCAAACGGATTTCCATTTTCGGTAAAGACGTTAATCATTTCTTTGACATGGGTCAAAAACCTTTTCTCAAATGCATTATTATCTTCATGGTGCTTTGCACCCACGTCTTTTTCATCTTTTAAAAATGATTTCTTTTCAAATTCCTCAATTAAAGAACTGATCCTAGGGCCTGATACCATCCATTTAAGTAGAGCATTTTCATTATCAAGAATCCCAATAGCTCCACCTTCGCCCTTTATAAACTTATTATTGTGTTCATGAAGCTGGTCGTCGGATATTGCAGAAAATGGTTTAGCAGTTTTGGTGCTCGTAAAGTTGCCACGAAGAAATTCAGCATGTATATCTGGATGTTTTTCTGGAAGGTCCTGTAGAGTGCGTACGAAAACTGGCAACCAACGAGAATAGTGGACTGCGTCCAACGCAAATGTCCGTGGACATAATTGAGCCAAAGTATCGACGTACATTTTAAAGATAGATGTACGAATACTCAATATCAGTTGCACTAGAAGAGACTCCAGTTTGATAACTGTGTCCCAATACTGAAACTGAGGACATTCAGATGTTTTAGACAAAATCCACACTTCAATGCCTTCTCCGCTGGTGTTGACATTTTTTTCACATTCTTTGTTGAATGCTTGTACCTAAGCAAACTAAATATTTATTATTCAGGGCTTTCCAATTGTAAAACTATATACAAAATAACGATTAGACTCTCCTATCTATAAATACACACATGAATATTACAGTTATTTATACCATGGCCTCACGCATTAACCTACAGTGTTAGGAGGCCGGCGATCTCGTGTCAGTTAACTTATTAAAAGTTAATTAAATAACCTATTTAGATGTACTAAAGGAAGTGTAGTATAACTAAGTAAAATAAATAAAAACTACGTACCTTATTATACAGTTTTCGTTGTTAGGAAAAATGAAAAAAGTGTTTTATTCTATTTGATAACAATGATATGATATCGCTACCATATGTTTAATTAAACTAATTACTAAAGATTAACTTTCAATCAAATGCGACAGATAGCGCCTAGTAAATAGTAATTATTAGTGAAATGACATTGTTGCCGAACGACTCTCTGTGCATTTATGCTATGCAAAACTGTTTTGGAAGATTTTCAGCGACTGTTTGGAACAAAATCAAAGTTTTATATACTGTTCGAAAGGTAATTTTTTTACGAACAAAAAAGTTTCTATCATATTTTTAGCTAAATACAACTGATTCCGTGTTATTTAGCAAAATATCTAAAAAATTCAAAATAAAATTCAAAAATTTAAAAAAAAGTTACAAAAATTTCCGAAATTATGACCTTAAATGATAATGTAAAATATGTCATTAAAAAGCGAATTTTCTACTGATTAATAATCACTAAAAATATAGGTAAATATCTAAATACAAACCCAAGTTATATAGGAAAATGTAGAACCGCATCACAACAATTTGGCGGCCATATTGATAACGTTATCAACAACGTTAGGGGGGGAGGAAAAATTTGTGTCCCGGGATTTTTAGACTCGTTTACCCATATACTATCTGAATCCAAAAGGGCGCATTGGTTGCCAAACGTGAAATATTTTGATATCATTTTCAGTTAGCACACCCCACTACTATGTTTGATTGTGTGACTTAGTTATGTACTAAAATATTTTTAATTTACTTCAAATTCTCTCAGGAGATCAAAGCACTGTTCACTGATTATTGGTGTACATTCACTAACAATATTTGACTGTACGTTGGCTACTTCAGTTGGGTCATCTGTTTCAAATGTACTCAAATTCAACATTTGACTAGTCAAACACTCATTTTTAGTCAATAATCTGTTTTCGAGATCAACCTGTGAGTTTGTATTCTCGGTAAATACAAAATCTGAATGTTTTTACAAGAATGTACCATCTCAGGCTAAACATTTTTTGTACACAATTATACATTTTTATTTTAGATTTAATTATTTTATGACTATTTATGTAAACTATAAATAATTAGGTAGTTATACATAATTTAGTTATATTAATGCATTCAAATTTCAAACTATATAAATACTTGCCAGTATTTGAAATCCAGAGCTGTTATACTACTGCTCGCTGAACCTGTCATGCCTTTCAGAAAACTAAATAGGTTTTCTATTATATCTTGATTCAGCCTCCTACCAATGATGTACTCCATGTCATGTTCATCTTTTAAATATTTTAGTAAGGATTTTAAAGATTTATTGCTCACTGCTATTCCTATAATCATCAACAAATAATTAATAAATAATATATGTTTATTATAAAATATAAATTTACAACCTTTTTGAAAAGGAACAAGGGTTTTTTTTCCATATACTCTCATATCCGATATAAAAGTACTCATTTTATCTAGAAGTTCATCTTGATGCTCTAAATTTATTCCATAGCTTGGAGTACCGCCATCAAACTTATGCTGAATGTTAAAGATGTCAAACCAATTATTGAACAGCAGAATCATTTCAGTGGCCTATTTTTCAGGTAAACATATATTCATAGGTCTATTATTTGAAGCACATAAATTAAAAACCTTTCTTACATCTTTCCAATTTTGCTTATCTAAATATTTTTTTTCCCCACAATAAGCTATGGCTTTAGCAACAGTATCTGAAAATACTTGCGAAGCCAGTTTTACATTCATCCTTCCACAACCCTGTACTTCCAGATGTCTCTCAGTCAAACGATATGCTAATTTTAAGTCTCCTGAATCGATTTTCAAAAGAGTCTGTAAAATTGATTTACCCACATACTT